TTTAGTACTGAGCAGTCTTTTGAAATTTAATAGCCATAAAATGATATATCATTGCGGTTTTAATGTGTGCTTTTGTAATGACAAATAATATAAAGCATTTTCCATATGCTTGTCATCCATATGTCTTTTATAATGAAATATCCGTTAAAATCTTTGGCATGTTTTTTTTTTAATTGGGGTATTTCCTTGGTATTTATTTTATAACAAGGTGTTTTTCAGCTTTATTGAGGTGTAATTATTAAAATGCATATAGATTCAAGATGAACAATGTGATGTTTTGATATACCTATAGGTTGCGAGTTGATTACTACAATCCAGCTAATTAACATTCAGCATTTCACATAGTTGCCCTTTTTTCTGACATGACTACTTAGGCTCAGTGCATTATTTTCCGTATCCATGTTTTCTACATTGATTGAAAATATTTGGGGGTCCACTGCAATGGCTCCATTGGCTAATCCTTCACCTCCAAGCACTGGGTTCCCCTATAGGTGCTGGTTTGTGTCCTGGCTGCTCCCTTCTAGCTCCCTGCTTCTGGCCTGGAAAAGCAGTCAAGGATGGCCCAAAGCCTTGGGACCCTGTACCCGCATGGGAGACCCAGAAGAAGCTCCTGGCTCCTGGCTCCTGGCTCCTGGCTTCAGATTGGCTCCAGGTGTTGTGGCCATTTGGGGGTACGAACCAGTGGATGAAAGATTGTTCTCTTTATCTCTACTCTCTGTAAAGATATAATAAAAAATTTAAAAAGAGGGCCCGGCACGATCGCATAGTGGTTAAGGGACTCGCCTTGCATGCCCGGGATTCCCATATGGGCACAGGTTCTAATCCCAGCCACCCTGCTTCCCACCCAGCTCCCTGCTTGTGGCCTGGGAAAGCAGTCGAGGACGGCCCAAAGCCTTGGGACCCTGCACCCGTGTGGGACACTTGGAAGAGCTCCTGGCTCCTGGCTTCAGACTGGCTCAGCTCCAGTCATTGCGGCCACTTGGGGAGTGAACCATCGGACAGAAGATCTTCCTCTCTGTCTCTCCTCCTCTCTGTATATCTGCGTTTCTAATGAAAATAAATATTTAAAAATTAAAAAAGAAAGTATTTGGGAAAACATACAGTCTGCTTTGAACATGTACACACTTTTTCTCAGTCATTATTCCCCAGAAAATGTTGTGAATAGTCTAGAGATGATTTAAAGTATATAAGAATGCGTGCAATTGTAGGTTCAAATACTAAACCACTTTATATAATACTCATGAACATAGATGGATTTTAGTGACCTCCAAGGGCCCTGGAACCAGTGCCCCCCAAGGGTGCCATGGGACAGCTGTGCACATTATTAACCATGGTCACCATGCTCTGGTCTCAAGGATCTATTTGCCTTTCTTTTTTTGTTCCAGAAGAGATTTTCTTTTTTCGATTTATTTGAAAGGCAAAATTCGAGAAAAGGGGAAAGACAGAGAATCTTCTACCTGCTGATTTACTCGCCGGAAGGCCACAGTTGCTCAAGATAGGCCAGGCCAAAGTTCAGACTCAGAGCTTTTTCCAGGTCTCAGATGGGTGCAATGTCCCAAGTGCTTGGGCTATCTTCTACCGCTTTTACAGGCACACTAGGCAGCTGGGTTAGAAGCTGCTGCGACTCAGACCAGTGCCCATATGAGATACGGCATCACATGTGGAGTCTTAACCTACTATGCCACAATGCCAACCCTGTCCATTTACCTTTCATACCTGAGTTTGTACTTTTTGACCGCATTCTCTCTCTCCATGCTGACCTTGGCACCACTATTCTACTTTTGCTTTCTAAGAGTTTTGACATTTTTAGATTCCACATATCAATAAGATTGTTTAGTATTTGTCTTTCTGTGTCTGTCTATATGACTTAACACAATATACTACAGATTTTCTTGTTTTCTGCTGTAAGCCACTAGTAATAAAAAACAAATTTGAAATCTTTGTACAGTTTTGTCATAATAAACATTTTCATGAATTTTTGAAGACTTCCTCAAATGCATACACTTCAAGATTTTTGCTCTGTAATTAACTTCTAACTTTATTTTCCGCAAACTTTTTGAAGGGTCCTCACTTAATTTTATATAGTTAGCATGCTGTATATTAGTTATCAGCTCTTATTTATATTGCAACTGGAAATGTGTGCCCTTTCCTCAGTATCTCTCATTTTCCTGCCACCCGTTGAATCATGTTACCAACCATTCTACTGTATATTACTACTTTTTTAGATTTCACATATAAATGAGATCATATACTACCTTTCTGCTTAAAGTGTTTGTTTAATTGTTCAATTCCTGTACACAAGTGTAGTAACATCAGCATTGTTAACCCCTAGAATAGTAGTTACATGGAGATTCTTGGGCCTTTAAGTCTTGTAGAATCTACTTGTTTTCAGAGGTACTTAGGTCAGCACTTTTACCCCTCACCCTCTTTATTTTCATATCTTTGTACAGATCTGTACATTTGTTAGATCCTGGGTTTTTTAAGAGATTTATTTTATTTATTTGAAAAGCAGAATTATGGAGAAAGAGAGAGAGAACAAATGAAAGAATATCTTTAATCCACTGGTTTACTTCCCAAATGAGTGCAACAACCAGAGCTGGGTCAGGCCAAAGCTAGGAGCCAAGAGCTCCTTCTGGGTCTCTCATATGGGTGCAGGGGCCCAAACGCTTGGGCCGTCATCTGGTACTTTCACAAGTACACTAGCAAGAAACTATCGGAAATGAAACATCTGGACCTGAGTGGGTACCTAGATTGGATGCCAGCATCCTATAGGTGGCAATTTAACCAGTTACACACCACACTGCTGGGGCTTTCCATTTGTTAGATTCTGTTGTTATCATCTGCATTGCAGCGCATAATTCCTCAACTTCCTCAATATTATATTTAAAGAACTTTCATATGTTAAGGATAGTTTGTTCTGTAAAGTTCTGTGGGTTTTGACAAATGCGTGTTGCCATGCGTTCACCGTTAAAATATCAGGCTTGTAGTTGCATTGGTGTAAAAAGCCCTCTTTCCCACCTTTTAAACTTCCCAAGGTAATCTTTTCACCAGCTCTACTTTTTTACAAACTCTTCTTTTTACTCCTTTGCCATTTTGTCACTTACTGAAGAGACTTGTTCAGTCAATACTACTGGAACAATTGTTGAAAATTATCTGACGTGCTAAAGTTTATTTATTCCATTCCATTGGTATATAAGTTTGTCTTTATGCCAGTTCAATTTTTTCTATAACCATAATTTTATAAGTTTTGAAATTGAGAAGTGAATTTTCCAACTATGTTTCTCATTTTCAAGATTATTTTAAAACCAATTATTATATGTCAGAAATTATTTCTTGAACAGAAAGACTGTTATGACATTCTGCATGAATTTTGGTATCGATATTTCTTAAAAAAAAAAAAAGAAGCTTAGTAGGGGCAATCTCAGTGGCTTATTCAGGCTAATCCCCAACCCTGTTGTACTGGCAGTCCCATGTGTGCTGGTTCTGCTTGCTGCACTTCTGATTCAGTTCTCTGCTATGGCATGGGAAAGCCGTGGAGGATGGTTCAAGTCCTTGAGCCCTTGCCCTATGTGGGAGACACAGAAGCTCCTAGCTTCTGACTTCAGATGGGCCACAACGGTTGGAGCTGAGCCGATCCAAAGCCAGGAGCCAAGAGCCTGGAGCCTCTTCCAGGTCTCCCACGTGGGTGCAGGGTCCCAAGACTCTGGGCTGTCCTTGACTGCTTTCCCAGGCCACAAGCAGGGAGCTGAATGGGAAGCAGGGCTGCTGGGATTAGAACTGGTACTCATATGGGATCATGGTGAGTACGAGGCAAGGACTTTAAGTCATTAGGTTGTCACGCCATGCTTTTTTAAAATATAAAAAATAAATTTTTTTTTAAAAGTCATTGGGAAGGCCCAGCGCAATAATGTAGTGGTTAAGATCCTTGCCTTGAATGCACTGGGATCCCATATGGGTGCCAGTTCTAATCCCAACAGCTCCACTTCCCATCCAGCTCCCTGCTTGTGGCCTGGGAAAGCAGTCAAGGACAGCCTAGAGCATTGTGACCCTGCACCCGCATGCGAGACCTGGAAAGAAGTTCCTGGCTCCTGGCTTTGGATCAGCGCAGCACCGGCCATTGTGGTCACTTGGGGAGTGAATCATCAGATGAAAGATCTTCCTCTCTGTACATCTGCGTTTCCAACAAAAATAAACAAATTTTTTTAAAGTCATTGGGACTTTAGTAGGGATTATATTAACCTATAGATTATTTGGAGATTATTGACAAGGATGTTAAGTATTTTAATATATGAACTGTTTGCATTTTTAAGTAGTCAGAATGTACTGGCATGTTATTTGTATGATAAAATATAGATAAAATTTTAAAAGGGTTGTTGGCAGAAAGAACTATAGAGTTTTCATGCCGTTTCATTCGTTTCACTAGATTTCAGTTACTAGATTTAAAATTTGGTATCAGTTCTTGGAAGAAGTACACATTCAGTATTAAGAAAGAAATGATTACGTGAATATGACTGTTGGCAAAATGAAATCTTCATGAACTCATAAATTAAACCGAACTGAATTAAAATGGTTTGATATTACCAAATAGACTTATTTAGACATTTAATGACAATAGTTGAGTTCAGATATATTTTTTAATTAATTTATTATTTATTATTTTATGGTACAGCTCTGTAGGCTCAGGGATTTCCCATCCCCTGCCCAGTCCCTTCTCCCCGCACCCACTGTCTTCCCCTCCATTATCACAGTGCATAGTAGTGTTACATATATCTTGACAGTGGGATGCTGAACTGTGCCATCGCCCATACCTATAATGTCAGGATACAGTTAAAGAGTAGAATGATGGGCTTACGAATGTTCATGAAGGACTATACAATGTGGTAATAGAAGCTCAGATAGACTTTTGTATGGCTGTTTATTCTCACACTGAAAATTTAGTCTCATTGGTAAAAATAAATCAGTTTTATTCATGCTGCTTGAAATTTTGTCTCATTGAACAGAGAATCCATTGGGTTTCACTTCCTGGAGATTGTCTGTGAAAAATTTAAATCATCAGAAAATTCTGCAAGAGCTCTACTGTTCTACGCTGATATACTTTTAGAAAGGAAGGAAGAACTGCAAGCCACAGAGAAGATTGAAGAAATTGTCATGGGTCAGTAGGATGTCTGTACATGTTTTAGAGAAGTGGTAATTTGCATACAGTTCTACATAAGTAAGTTCTAAGAGCAGTAGCAGATCTCTAGGTTAACTGATTTCTCCAACTTTCCCTTTACCCCTCCCTGATGGTCTTTACAAATAACACCTCATCTGTCCATATTTCACAAATGTGCAAACTAAGCAAAAATAAGTAGACATCAGCAAAAACAGATAAACTGAAATTAAAGTTCAAATATTGTAAAAAAATGTGTGAGATTAGTAGCATAAATTTCACACCTTCAATTTAACCTCAAATTGGCTGTTTGCCTTTGGGCAAGTCAGTATCTCTGGCTCTTGTTGGGAGGAAGGAGGGCCTCATCAGTAGGTATGACTTGACAGTGAAGTCTCCTAGATCTTGCATACCTTGCCTTTCTTTCTTTTTTAAGATTTATTTGAAAGGCAGAGTGAGAGCAAGCTCTTACACCTACTGGCTCATTCCCCAAATGGCTAATATGGGCCAAGCCAACTTCATCCTGGTCCCCACATGGGTATCAGTGGCCCAAGCACTTGGGCTGTTTATTGCTGGCTTCTTAGTTGCCTTAGCAGAAAGCAGAACGAAAAGCAGAGCAGGAGCTGACACAATGGGTCAACAGAGTAATCCTCTACTCTGTGGTGCTGCCGTCCTATGGGTGGCCAGTTTATGTCCCAGCTACTCCACTTCCAATCCAGCTCTCTGCTTGTGGCCTAGGAAAGCAGTTGAGGATTGCCCAAAGCCTTGGGCAGACTTGGAGAAGGCATCTGGATCCCGGCTTCCAATGAGAGTAGCTCTGACTATTGCAGCCATTTGGGGAGTAAACCAGTGGATGGAGGATCTCTCTCTCTCTCTCTCTTTCTCTCTTTCTCTCCCACTCTTTGTGAATTTGCCTTTGCAATAAAAATAAAAGAAATATTTTTAAAAAGAAATAGAGAAGGGATCCACAGGGCAAAATAGGTAATCTGATCAGAAGGGAAGGCAATAGGTTAGAACTTTGGTAAAAACAGACTGAAATATTTTTTTAAAATACAGCAGTCTATAATTATACTGAAACTCCCAAAGGCATTAGTATTGTAAGGTAATAAAATACAATAGTTGTTAGTGCTATTGATCTTGAGCAGTCAAGCAAAGATTAAATTGTGCTTAAGAAATATAATTTCTGAGTAAACATAACTTTCTTATAAAGATTCAGACTTCTGAAGTGAAAAAATGTTTTCTAATTAACGTAAATTGTCACCTAACTAAAAACTTGATTACATGAAATAAGTTATTTTCCCAACATTTAACTTAGACAAAATTTTATTATGACATCTAATATAAAAACTTATAATCTTTGAGTGTTATCAGCTCTTCATTCATGTGTGAATATATTAAACCAAGTTGCAGAACGAACCTTATGTGCTGACTGAGCCAGCAGGTCAGAGATTCTTAATGTTCTTTGTAGATACTGACAGTTTGTGCCAGGGGGGCAGAATTGAGAAGGGGTATAGAATTCTATTACAGTTTAGATTTTACCTTATTCTGCTAATGTATTTGAACCTTGTAAATGTTTAGACCAGAAACAGTCAGGTGCAAGTTACAATTAAAGTAACAAAGTTTATGTGTAAATGTGTCTTAACATTTTACAAAGGCTTTAAGGTATAATTAGCCTTTCTTGTGAACTTGATCTGATCTACTTAGTACATAATAGTATAAACACTTCTTATTAATGATTTCTGGCATTGCTGTATGCTCACTCACAATAACCTTATTAAAGCCCCAGATGATGATCTAATTTGGAATGTGTAAAATAAGTTTAAAAGGAACTAGGCTGGAAAACCATCAAAGATTGATGGGAGGAATTACTGAGAATCTAGTAAACCTGATTGTATTATATAATGCATTTTGGTAGTAAAGGCTAAATTGATGAAAACCTATCTGCAGTGTGATTGTTTTTGTAACCATTTCTTAAAGATTACAGGTCTGTGCATAGTTAGCACTCTTTAATGCAGTAGATCTAGATTCTGTTTTCAACGCTTTGGTTTCTTTTTCATTAGATCACCAAGCAGGAAGGAAACTGCCATTAGACTTAATAACCATATTACAAGACATTCTGTGGAAAAAAGCTGCCAGAAGTTTTGAGGTTTGAGAATAATCTTTTCATTCTTTATTTTCTCTATTGCAACGAGTAACAATATGTTCAAAGTAAAAATCATAGAGCATCACATACTTAATAGTCATTCTATTCACACACTGTGTTTTAGTAAGTATTTATAATGCAGAATGTTAATGGGAATTATACAGGAGTTCATGCAGAAATAGTAAGACATGAGGCGGGAATTGTTATGCATCAACATAACAATGCCCCTATACCATATTGCCTGTATACCATATTTGAGTGCCTGGGACAAGTCCCATCTCACTTCTGTTTGCAGTACAGATTCCTGCTATTGCCTGGAAGGTAGTAAATTTTGGCTTAGTGCTTGGATCTCTACCATCTCTGTGAGAGACCAGGATGGGGTTGTTCTCCTGGCTTCAGCCTTATTCATCTCCAGTTGTTGTGGGTATTCACAGAGTGAACTAGAGGATGGAAGAACTCTCTTCTCTCTCACTGTCACTCTCTCTGATTCTCTGTCTCGTCTCGTCTCTCTCTCTGTATTTCAGATAAATAAAACTGAATAAACATTTAAAAATAGTGACTTCTTTCCATAGGGAGGTTACAATGTGAGGAAATGACATCACTGATATTGATATAGCAATGCAATTTATTTTAAGCCAAAGCACAAGAGGGTCATATTTTGTTCCCTTTTAAAAAGTTATGGTGAAGGACCTGATGTGGTAGCCTAGTGGCTAAAGTCCTCTCCTTGCATGCTCCAGGATCCCATATGTGCATTGGTTCGTGTTCTGGATGTTCCACTTTCCATTCAGCTCCTTGCCTATGTCCTGGGAAAGCAGTAAAAGATGATCCAAATCCTCGGGACCTTGCAGGCCTCCCCCTTCTCCTCCGTCCCCGTTACATAAATGAACGAAGTTGTAGTACGGGGCGGGCATGGTAGCTCAGAAGGCTAATTCTCCTATAGTTCTGGCATCCTGTGTGGGCACCAATATGAATCCCTTGTGGATTGGATGACAGACAAGTGCTTGGGCCCGTGCCACCCACATAGATCCAGATGGAATTCTAAACTTCTGACTTCAGCCTTTGTTTAAATATTATATGTCCTTAAAATCAGTGACTAGGTAGTACAGATTTTGTATATATATAACAAAATTAAGTGGAAAAATAGAACGTGAAATTCCATACAAGCTATGACTTAGAGCTGCAAATACACAAAAGGAGAAAGACAAAGTAGAACATAGAAATGTAAAAACAGCTGTGTTAGTATGGTGAATAATGGGTGTTTTCAGATCCCTGTTGTTGTTTTAATAACTCATAAAATGGGTTTTGAGTTTCTGGGGATTGTTCACCACCCTCTCAGACTCTTTTTACCTATATATAAGATGTATGATGCATATGAATATTGATTTTCATTTTACCTAAAACTTAAATGGATCAAGACTGATGTAAAAGGCACTTTGAATTCAATAGAAAGGGTATTGTGTTTTGATTGCCTAAAAAAACAATACTATCTTGTAGTTTTGTTCAGAGGTGATAGGATAAACTATGGTAAAATGTAAAGATATTTCTGTGATTTTGTTACTTCTTTTTAAACTTCAGGCGCAAGATTACGAAGATGCCCTCCATTGGTTTAATTATTCTCTGGAGATTTATGAATCTGATAAAACGGATCTGGACGTGGCCAGACTGCAGAGAAACATGGCTTCCTGTTACATGCGGTTGAACCAATATGAAAAGGTCCTTTGATTTATCTATTTTCAGGGATAAGATATTCTTACGTGCAGTGACAAATAGATACATATAATATTGTGACTTCCTCGCTGTCAGTTTAAGATATCTGAGAGTTCCTTCATACAGAACAGTGTCAAATTAACCTTTTCTTGATTTTTACTCTGCAGGCATTAAGTGGAAGTTGCTAAAGGGGTAGAGAATTTAGAGGACAGTGAATTCCATTACACTGTAAACATTGAGTGGCAGTTTCCCAAAGGGATAGAGCATTTAGACAACGATTAATTCCATTACTATTTATTCTTGCACCCTGTTCTGAAACGTAATACCGGAGCTCCTGAACAAAATTATCTGCTATTAATCATCTGCAATGTTGTCCTTTAAAGCAGACCATGTTTTAAGATACACATTTTTTTCCCCTTAAGCAATCATTCACAGAAAATACTTGGATGAATGAAGTGACCGTTCTTTTACTTTCTTGATATGTTATCTCTGGCCTTTTCAACAACTCTAGAAAATATTGAGTAAATTATTTCTTATCAGGATAAAATTCTAAAAGGTAAATCAGGTAAAAAGTTTGTGTATAGTTAAGAGACATTCATACTTCTTAAAGTACTTGTCTTGAGTATCATACAAATGCACATTTATAAGGAGGTTCTGGGAAGAACAAAATTTGGAAGGACAAGGGTAGACTCAAATGAAATGTGAAGATTTTGTGCTGTCTTTTAAAGTTTTAATAACAATTTCAGGAAGAAATTTTTGATTAAGGGTAAAACTTTCAGGCATTTTCTTTGAAGATCTGTTTAATGTTTTGAAGTGTTGTTCATATGAGTAAAGACTTTAGCTTTTCTTTCAAAGGATATTGGTTGCTTGGTTTGTATTTTTTGAATTTGTAGTACTAGAAGAGAAGCTTAAATGTTACTTAATTTATCATATTTCTGTACAAGCATGGAATTTAACGGCTTTAGAAGGTTAGTTCTATTTAAGATCTACAAAGAGGATATCGTACAGATTACCACTTCACCATATTTCTGCACAGGATACATTGTCTACTTCAAGGAAGATGGTTGTCTACTCTTTACTTCTTTATTTATTTTAAATATTTTGTTTTTATTGGAAAGGCAGATTTATATGAAGAAGGAGAGACAGAAAGAAAGGTCTTCCATCTGCTGGCTCACTCACCAAGTGGCCACAATAGCTAGAGCTGAGCTGATCCAAAGTCAGGAGCCAAGAGTTTCTTCTGGTCTCCCACATGCATGCATGGTCCCAAGGTTTTGGGCCATCTTCTACTACTTTCCCAGGCCACGAGCAGGTAGCTGGATGGGAAGTGGAGCAGCCAGGATATAAACCAGCAGCCAAATGGGATCCCAATGTGTGCAAGGCGAGGATTGAACCACTGAGCCATCATGTTGGGCCCTGCTTATCTTTTGAAAGGGAGAATTTTGAGGGAGAGAAGGAGAGACAGAGATCTTCCACCTACTGGTTTATTCCCCAAATGGCCACAACAGCCAGGTCGGGGCTAAACCGGAGCCAGGAGGCAAGAGCTTCTTCTGGGTCTCTCTTGTGGGTGCAAGGGCCCAGGCGCAAGGAACTGGGCAATCCTTTGCTGCTTTCCCAGTCCACAAGCAGGAGCTAGATCAGAAGTGGAACAGTCAGAATTCCAACTGGCACTCATATGGGATGCTGGTGTCACAGGCTGTGTATTACCCTGCGACACCACACACTGGGCCCAAGGCATGGATTTTGTACTTCCCATGATTTAATAACTAGGTCTTTGGCTATACCGAATAGCAGATATGCCATTGAGGGAATGGTTACATTTGCAAGCCATCTTGAAGGAGGATATCTAATAAGCTAGTTAGAACAGAACAAAAAGTCACAGTACTAGATGCTGAGCTAGGTTCTAAGCATACAGAGATGAGCAAGACATTTTTGCTTTCAACTCGGCAAAGCAGCTGTTATCAGGGTATCCTAATGGGAATATAAGCATAGCATGACAATGAGGGAAATTTAAGTGTTGAGAATATTCCTTAAGTCAGGCATACCAACAGTTGGCTTCATGTAAGCAGATCAGCAGTGAATAGGGCTTCAACCACAGAAATTAGGATTCAGAGTCAGTACTGACATCTTTGAGGCCTGGTAATGGATGGAGGTAGACAGGCTGAAAAGAGCAAGATAGAGCTACAAGCTAAAAGGGACTGGGTTATTAGACTGTTTTAGGATGAATCCTGGCATAGAGATTCAGGCAGGGACTCATTTTTCAAATGAGGAATACAAACTGACTCGGTACAGCTTTCCCAGATTTCGGTACTTCTTAAATCACCTTTCACTGATGTTAAGTTTACTCTTAGAGTGCAGTACAGGACTTAACTTGTAATTGAGTGTTCAAATAGTGTTAGTAATGAAAGGAGGTAGGCAACCAGATATATCTTGATAGTGTAAGTCTGTGTATAACTGGATAATTTAAAGGCATATTGCTGATGAAGCCAAAGGTTGTTCTGAATACATTCAGGGTAACCCTGTTGATCACTGTTAGTATGTTTCTCCATTTTATCCTTCCTGTTTTGAATTTAGCAGGCATTGGTTGGACACTCCTTATATATGAAAAATACTCTTCTGTGCACTAGAACAGAAAGAAGGGTGAAAAAAACCACAATTCATCATAGTTCACTATTCCCACTTTACTGGTGTCTACTCTTCATTAATTTTCATTACCTTCTTTTTCTCTCCTTCCTTTGAGCATTGTTAAGAAAATTTATGAAACCATATTTATTAGAACTTCTCAAAGTTTATAGCTTTTCAGCTAGGCAATCAATAAGAGTGACTGTTGTTGACTTTCCACCATACTCCTTATGGTACTGATTCTAAATACTTTTTTCAGTCCTTAAGCCACCAAGCATTCTCCTGTTTTTAGCAAATGATCTTATCAAGTAATTTGCTGAGCTTGCAGCCACTGGCAAAGACCCCATCAGTTTCTCTCCTTTTTTCCCATCCTGTCTTTTCTGTTATTATTGGAAAAAATATTAATTTTCTCTGGAGAACCAACTCCACAGATCTCAACTATAAATCGTTAATTTTTCTTTTTCAGTTTCTTGCCCCTCTCACAATTGTTTTGAGGTCTTCTTTATCCAAAATCATCCTTCAACATTGCCTTTCTCCTCAAACCTCATTTTAAATTACTGTTTCATTGCCAGATGTTCTAACACAAAAGTACTGTAAATATTTTTGGAGTATTCACTCATGCAAAAGTTTTGATAACTATCTACACCTTAGATGTAGTTCTGGGTGTTGGGTACATAGTCATAACAAAATAGACACTCCCAACCTTCATGAAGTGTGTATTCTGCTGGAAGAGGGAGACAGCAAAAAGATCATTAAGTATTATGGTATGTTACAGAGGTCAGCTAATTTTATGGAAAGAACCAAAGTAAACACTTTGTTTGCAGTCTCTACAACTGGTATCTGAAAGCAGCTGTAGAAAAGAGGTAAACGAATGGGCATGACTGTGTTCCAGTAAAACTTTTGTATTTTGCAATATTGAAAGTTGAATTTCATATAATTTTCATGTGCTATTAAATAGTATTTTTTTAGCCAGCTAGAATATTATCAATCAAATAAAAATGTAAAATTATTCTTTGGGGCTGTATAAAAAACAGATGGTGGTCCAGACTTTATTCTAGGGCCATAGTTTATTTATTGAACCTTGTATACTAAGTAGCGATAACTATTAAAGAGAAAACTAAGCAGAAATGAGTCATATTAAATATTTTAGAGGTAAGATGTGAATGATTGGAATTTTAGAAAAGGTGAGAAAGGAAGGCCTCACTGAGAAGGTAGGTTTTTTAAAATATTCTTTTATTTATTATTTGAAAAGCAGAATTCCAGAAAGAGGAGAAATAGAGATGGATCTTCCATCTGCTGGATCACTGTGCAAATAGCCTCAGTGGCCAGATCTGGCCCATTCTGAAGCCACATTCCAGGAGCTTCCTCTGGGTCTCCCAGGTGAATGGGTAGAAGCAAGGAATCAGTCTTTGATATAATTTAAAATAAGTGGCAATAGTAGAATGGAGCAGGGCAGAAACAGTTTGAATATTTAGAAGTGGTCAGATTCTAGACATATTGTAAAACTAAAGGTTACAGGATTGCATGACATAAATGATATAGGGCATGACAGAAGAGGCAAGTGTGACTCCAAGGCTTTTGGCCTCATTATCTACTCCTCTTTTGGTGATGTTTGCTTCAATTATCTACTCCCCTTTTGGTGATCAACTACTCTTGAAAATGATTAGTGTTCTTTTAATGATGAAGTTTAATGATCTTTTCTCAGTCGCCCTTGTCCTCTGAGTTTTGTAACACAAAACACTGTAACACCGTCAAGTACTTCATTCTGGAAGCTTTCTCTTTGGCTTCTGTAAATCTGCTATTAATCTTACTGCTGTAACTGATTCTCTTCCATTTTTGTGACAAGCTAATTTTCCTCTTTTCAACGAAGCATATGTTGGAACTGGGCACGCACTGTGTCTGTCTTTTCACCATTTTATTCCTAGTATCCACAGCCATGCTTGGTACATTGTAAGTTTTTAGTAACCATTTATTAAATGCACTTGTTCTTTAGTCCCTCCTTTTCTTTCTTCTGACACTCTCTCCTCAATAATCCACCAGTTTGTTTCTTTGCAAAATTTTATTCATTTATTTATATGCATTTTATTTGAAAGGCACATGTACATGTAGAAACACACAGAAACAGACCAGGAGAGATTTTCCAAATGCTGATTCACTGTTCAGATGTCACGACATCAGAGATGGGCTAGGTTGAAGTCAGGAGCCTGGGAATCTAAGTCTCTCCCATGGGCGGCAGGATGCTATTGTCTGCTGTCCTCCAGGATGCACATTAGCGGGAAGTTGGGTGGGCAGAGATACTACCTGGGATTTGAACCAGGCAGTCTTAACATTGGATGTGGGCATGCCAAGTGTAATCTTCAACCACTGTGCCAAATGTGTGCTTCTAT